TATAACTATAATACCCTTTGGATGACAACTAGAAAATACTAATAATGATGCTTACATGTATTTATTTATATACCTTCATTGATGATGCATTATTTAATTAAAAAATAAGTTACCTTTGGATATCTTATATCTATCTAATTAAAAAAATACATACAACCCCTTAATTTTTATTTAATCATTTGAAAATCAATTCCCTTTGGAGAATTATTTCTCATAATAAAATAAACTCAATATTCATGAATATCACAAAAAATCATAAGCATCATAATTCATGAAATATTGCAATTATGTTTACCACTATAATTAATATTCATCAACCATTATGGTGAGGCCACTTTGGTAGCTACCAAACTTTACATAATATGAATATTAAATTAGCTAGTAACTAATTTATCATTAATTATGTCTACTACAAAATTAATATTCATCAATCATTATGATTGGGCCACTTTGGTAACTACCAACCATCACATAATATGAATATTAAATTAGACAGTGATTAATTCATCATTTAGTTACCCATTTAATATAATACACACATATTCATACTGATCAATCCAAAATAAACAGGTTCGATCTAAGAAACTTAATAGTCCAAAAATTTAATAAAAATATTATTTTACTTTATATACATAATAAAACATATTATTTTTATTTTCAGACTTAAAGATCATAATTGAATCAATTTAAAATTGATTCTCCATCATATATATATGTTTGGGTTCTAAACAATAATTTATTTGCATGTCCAATAAAGTCAAATTTCTAGACTCACACATTATTCTAGAAATTCTAATTTCTAATTAAAGAAATCAATCTATAAAACTATTTAATCATGCAAATCACAAACTTAACTTACATAACCATTAACTTGACATATATGATTATTCTATAATTTCATGTCAAGTACTAAATGTGACTCTGTCATTAACTTATATTAGACCATGGACGAAAATCAAGAATTAAACACATATATATAATTCAACTATCAGGCAATTCAACGAGGCTAAGAAATCAATTTATGGAAATCAAAATATAGGCTCAGAAATCGATGCATGTAAACCAAAATAAATTCACCGATCCATCATACTAATCCATCATGCACCCACACTGATCATGAATCAATACCTATATTTATGCATCTGTTTTACATATATGGAAACTATCATGTAAACTATGTATCATTATTCAACTTTCAGTAATTCATTTAAGTTCTGAAATCGAGGCACACAATTTTGATTAATTGGTTGATGCCAACAAATTGATCAAAACATATCATGCACAAATAGTTACATGAGAACACTACTGTATATGTATATATAGACGACAAATCTAATAAATTAAATTATTTAATTTTAATTTAAACTTATGCAATATTAATGAAAATTAATGAGTTCATAAGCTGTAAGCTCTGATACCACATGTAAATTATAATTATTCGTGCAAACCATTAATCACATATAAAAATCAATCCTAAGATCTCAGAACTTCATTATTTTCACATAGTCTATAATGCATAAATAAATAGTTAGATTTAAATATCTCGATCTGTAATTGCAAATATCGTAGATATCAAGGCAAACGCCGAGATCATTTTTGCAGAACAAACAACGTGATAGACTACAAGTCAATGTGGGGAAACTGATTTCTCTCTCTTGACCTTTTGTACACATAAACATTATACGTGTTATTTCATTAGCGTACATAACTGATGGGAATATGCATTTTTATAAAGACAGAGAGAGGACCAGTTTTCCTTTTGGTAACTTTAATTGCACTTTCCATCAAAGTAAAGAATAAATAGGAAAACACTTCTCCAATAATTAATTACCAAAAAGGTAATTTATATGTTGACCAAATAATATAATATTAATCTTATATCTATTTTATTTAACCACCAAATAATAGAAGTAAATCACGTGTCCAAATCATGTGGGCCACAAATATAAGAAAATATCTTACAAATAAATCATTTTCACCCTCAAAATAAGGTATGCACATAATGCAAACTAAGTAATTGCACATAATGCAGACTAAGCAATGTTACATGTAAACGTAACTCAATTCAAATATCATTTATGTTATTATTTGAAATTAAAGTATTTTAAAAACACTTTAACCATATTAATTTAAAGAATTTAGACCAAAATTAAAGTTACTTAGATCAACTTTAGACAACAAACAAAACACTTGATGTTTCCAAAAATAATGAAAAGAGTAACAACTTTTTTTTTTCTTCCAAATATTAAAAAAAAACATGCACTAAATTATTTAACATATCTTTGAAAAAAATTTAGCAAAGTTTAATATTAATTGCCACACTCACCACCTTCACTATCAAAAAAAGGTATTTACATAATGCTGAAAAACTAATAGTCACACATAAATCTAACTCAATTCAACATTGTGATGTTATATATACTTGTATATATTCAGTACCTTGAGCTCAAAGCGTTCTTGTATATGTATATATATATATATATTTACATATTACTTAAATATTTATATATTACCTAAGTGGTGATGTTCCCTTTTACAAATGATGATGTTACTTTTTAGATTCCTATGATATTACTTATAAATGGCGGTAAAATGTTACTTATAAATGGTAGTGTAATTGCCAAACGCAGACTTAGTGTCTGTTTTATGAAGAAATACGTGGCCAAACCAAGGCCACTGGACAATGGACAGCAAAAAACTGCTGGAATAATTACATCAGAGGATTTGCGTCCATGATTTCTGGGCGTGAGGAAGTTGTTGTTTGGAGCGCGAGTCCGAATCCGAATTGTTAGTTGGAATATATGATTCGGAATTGGAGTCAAAAGGAGTGAAGGTGACAAAATTGATAAAGTGGATATCTTCAAAACTAAATTTGACAACTCTTATATATGATTATTAATCGATGATGTTCTATTCAAGGAATGCCTTATACAAAAGCTAAAAATATATATATTGAAAAAATTAAAAAAAAATTAAAAAAAAAATATTGAATTCATACCTTCAATCCAAGAGGGTGCTCAATTTATTTGCATTTTTCCATTACGAGCCATGAGTAGTTTACCAAAAATGCATATATATGTGTGTGTGTGTGTGTGTGTCTATATATATATATATATATATAGTTAAGTGCAAAACATCCCTTCATAATAATCAACAAGTCAGTGGCCGGTACCAGACCCCTACTTTCCAAGGGAGATTAGGGGTTCGAGTCTCATGTGTGTGAGAACTAGGAAAAAAAAAAAAAAAAAAATCCCTTCATAATATGTAAGATGTGCAATATATAATATAAGGATTACAAATCAATGTCCCAATATTTAAAACAAAATTAGAATGTGGGTATCTAGTTACCTTTTAGGCTTTTACCAAATTCAACCATTGTCCTTCTAATACATTCAAGAATATCTATATATAAATCTATAATTGCTAAAAAAAAAAAAAAAAATTATAGACATACGCCACTAACTACACGTTAATCTCACCTATCAATTATAAATTTTTTTTAACTGCATTTTATCCTACTTATTAATGATTTTTGAGAAAACGTGCTTGAAAAGTTAATGGTAAACCGACTTGGAAAAAAAAAAAAAAAAAAAAAAATGTTAATGATAAAAATAGACATTAATAAAATAAACAATTTTTTTAAATAAATAAATAAATAAAAAATATATGTGTTGCTTGAGTTTGTGTTCAGCCAAAAAGTAACTAGATCAAAATTTTAATTTTATAAAAATCTGAAGTTCATCTGATAACAATTTGCATCAAAGCAAATCCATTTATTTAATAATATTATTATTATATATATATGTGTGTGTGTATAATTAAGGGAGGCTCATTCGTTTACAATAAAAGATAGTGCATCTATCATTTGAAGAGGAGATAATATAGGCACAAAAAAAATAATAATAAATAAAATAAAATAAAAAAATAAATTAAATTAAGAAAAAAAAAATAGAAAATAGAGATAATATCGGCGGCAAAAAAAAATAAAAATAGAGATAATATCGGCGGCCACAAAAAATATTTTAGAGAGAGAATATATTTTTAAAGAGACAGACTTTTTAAAGAGATAACTATGACAACAGATAGAGAGTTTTCCTTGGACAAGTCTTGAAACACATCCAAATATTTTTAGAGAGAATATATTTTTAGAAAGATAGACTTTGACAACATATAAAGAGTTTTCATTGGACAGGTCTTGAAACACATCCAAACAAAACCATTTAGTGTTCAAATATATACAGAATTAGTAGGGACATTCTTGTCAAACAAAAATGGCACTTTTGAAAAAAAAAATTAAAAAAATAGCATCACTAAACCGCCTTTTTTTCAACGAACCCATTCAAATAAGGGACAAATTGCTCAAAAGACTAATAACACGAGTTATATTCAATTTTTTTTTTTTTTTTTTTCCTTCTAATAAGGGTGTTTCTTGCATATTTTTTATTTAGTAAGGGAATTTTCTGTACCAAACCCTCTATATATAGCCATCATATCTAAGGAACCGTGTATAACGTGATTGAATTTCTTGCTCATTAGCAAACAAGAAATCATTTTCGATATATATAAGGTATAAAATTAAAATTGTACAGGAAAAGAAGACATCCAAACATGATAAGATACAAACAAATAATTAGCCTATTATTCATGCTGGATGACACCTAATATGATAATTGTTATGCAAATTTACATTGGGACGTTCCACATTTAAGTTTTATGGAACGAGAATTATTACTTTCAAAATGGATACAGAACTGATGCTAATTGCTAATAATGAAATAAAGACAACCTCGTTGTTTGTGGATACAAGTAATAAAAATTGGAGAAAACATTCCTAAAGTTCTGGAAACCCAGCCGACTTTTCAAGAAACTTTGACTCTTTCAGGAGACCACTTTTTGTCACTGCATTTTTAAAATATTAAATACTTGAAAGTGATCATGATTGTCAGGATCCAACTCTTAAAAACGTTTGTACTACTGGCCCAATTCTTGCAATCCTCATCATGGTCAAGAGCGTCACATTCCAATTTTCCAAATAATTAAGAAGGCATTTTGTAGGGCTAAAATCTTTTTTGCAATATGATTTCCAGCACGATACATACCAGTCCACCGACAGCAAATACCATGGTGCCCCTAAAACCTGGAAGAACAAAATTGAATCATCAGTTCCAACACAATTACGTAACTCTCGAGAGCGGAGAAAAAATAGGGAGAAAAGGAATATTAAAGTGATAAAAATGAGCACAAATGGCATAACACTGGTATAAGTTTTAAACTAAATTGGTTAAAAGCATAAAGTGACAAATAAATAACATAAATTGATTTAATTTAAAGTTACATGGTAAGCAAACATGTACAATATCAGATTATATGCATTCCTTGCTAAAAACTGGTTTTGTGACGACACCAGTTGCTTTAATAAGTAGTGAACTTAATAGGAAAATCAAATATAGTGCGGGCACAAACTGGAGTAGAACAATCAGTGAAAGGGCATTGTTATTGTGATCAGCTCATAAGCTACTCGTTGCTAGCATAACGAACCAGATAACAATCTGCAGAAAATATATTCAGCTAACAATTCTTTTCTCCTAGATAACTTTATAGCTTACTTGAATAAAGGTAAAGAAAATTGTAGAAGTAAAAATAGGCTTATAGGAGCAGAAATAAGTGTGATTGTCATGATGGAGTCTAGAATATATAGAAAACACGAACTTACTAGGATTACTTTAATAATGATGAAATAGAGAAATTTAAATTTCCCCTTATTATTTATTTTTGTTTCTAATGCCGGGTGAGCAACACAAGATCACAGTAATTACTTTCTCATTTCAGGAATTTAAAATACTATAAGAAAAGTAAAAGTACCTGACTTCAAATTCCTCATTGGACGATTCCTCATTGGACGATTCCTCATCGGATGATTCCTCATCAGACGATTCTTCAACTTCAATCCTTTCTTTCGGGACGATCTCATATCGTGGAATTTTCAATCGATCATACCTGACTTCTGTTTCAAAACCTCTATCGCCTATGGGAAAACTCTGTCCCACGGTCAGATGCGAAGCTATATACGCAACTCTATTAGCTACCGTGTTTCCTTGAGAATATTGAAACAATATATCATATTTATCAAATTCTAACAAACCAAAAATTTTGCTGCATCACAATAGTTTTATATCAATATAATTGGAAACTTGAATATAAATTTTAAGAATAAACTCGAACTTTATACAAAAAACTTACTGATAAAGTCCAAGACATTCAATTGGTCTATCCTTCTCACGATTTAGCACCTTGACAATTTTTTTATGGTTAATCTCCAATAATATATACTTTGCTTCCGATCTCCTTTTAAGAATTTCATCTATCCCATGAAGCACTCCAAGTAAGAATACTTCATCTCTAGATGTTGCATCAGGAAATGGCTTATAGAAAATTTCCAAAATCCTTCCCCTACAATCTCTTAATACTTCTCCACAAAAAGCTTCCTTGGTCCCACCAAGATTTTTCTTAAAAAACACAGAAACATTTAACTTGTATTGTCCATCGAATGGTGCTTTCCAAGAACAGAGTCCTGAGTATTTTAATAGTGTCATTGGAGAACTCTCCAAAACATAAATTTGCTGATTAAACAGGTAATTATAAATCCTTTTTTCGTACTTTCTAGGAATCCAGAGAATTAACGACATGAAGTCATTTATTGAGATATATCTCGTCTTGGAAACCCCAGCCACATGCCAATCAGTGTTGCCCTTTTTGAACAACCCATAATTTTCTAATATAATGTTGTGCTTCTCTTCGAAAAAAAGTTGTTGGGGTCCACAAAAAACCTGTTGTTTAATGATCAAACAATATATTTGTTAAAAAAATAATCTGAATTAGATAAAAAAAAAAAAAAAAAAAATTAAAGTTACGTATATATTGAACTTACGACTAAATTGGGGATGCAATTGTGGATGCTTTTAAAATTTCCTTCGTTGATAAAAGATACAGAACTTGCAATAAAATTGTCAATGTTTGGAAAATTTCCTTCCTTGATGTAAATGGCACGCACCATTCGATGAAGGATTCCTAAGGAGGCAAAATATAAAAACAGCATTAAAGGCAAAAATATAGTAACAAATAACAACGAAAAGATAAACATTTTAATCACATGAAGCCAGAATCTTTCTTGATTGTTTTTAAGAATCAGGTACAAAAATAGAAATGACAATCCTGGAAGTAAATTCACGAATTAGACGTGTACGTACGATGCTTTGGGAAATGCTCCCGCTTGAAATTGAAGTTTGAAAGATACGGTTTTCACTATTAACCCAAATGAAACGATTTTATATGTTTAGCCCTTTAATTCATTTATTTATTTATCTATTTTATGTTTCCTGATAACCCAATTATTTTTATTTACATTTCAATTTTAATTCTATATTTTTCTCAAGCACTACATTACTATTAGCAACCGGTGGTCTGAACAAAAAAAAAAAGTTGAGACTACATTACTTCAACTGATGTTGAACAATGTAGACTTGTTAAATTTCCCCCCTCATCTTCAAAGGGTTCACATCAAATACACCATGCCAGAAATAATTAAGAAAATAAATAGGAGTGAGGTAAATAAAAAAATTGCTAAGCATATTATTTCGAATGATATTCAATTCAATGTGGTTCAGACTCGATCTTTTATTGATTTCGTGAAGAGTGTATCTGTATTTGAGTCCTAGAATTTACGTTGTATGACTCAATCATACAAATTACCAACTTACTCAACTTTATGCACGAAGCTAATACCAGATTCTACGATGGAAGTTGAGGCATACGGTGTAAATTTGCATAAAATGGGATTTATTTTATTAATTGTAACATTTTCTTTTATTGTCTTTACAAGTATATGATATAGAAGAAAATATATAAGATGTGTATAGCTTAATTTTTTGTCCCGAATTTTCAGCTCATACGTGTTATACATGTATGTATCCGTATTCGTATTTTTCTTTTCCGTTTATTTGGCCGAATTTTGCAATGTATCAAAACAAAATCGAATTATACTCATACGTTCCCGAATCCTTCTTCTCCTCTTTTTCCTTAGCGTAATTTACTAACTATGATAATAATAAAATTCCCTAGAAGAGGGAAGTTATAGCTAAACACAATGCAAAAATTCAGAATGAATTAGATATTCGAAACATTTCATGCTGTGAACAATATGCTCTCATTACGGGCTTTTGTCTTCATTTTTTAGAACTAGCAATGACAAGCATGGAATTGATGTTCTGGAACGATAGAAATAAAAGACTGCAATTTGACCTTTGCAACTGGGCATTAGTACTCCAAGTCCAAGGCATGGATTAGAAGTAATGAAACAAAATTCTGTTGATAGACGATGTAATGTTACTTATAAAGACTGAGCATCAGCATTTCAAGATATCTTCAGCAATAGAGAGTTGCATTATATTCTTTGTGCGATAGAGAGGTCAAGGATAAGCGTCGACCTGTCTTTAGCGTGATCTTATGTTTGTGACAAGTCGGTATGAAGAGGAGAAGCTTTTTGGAGGTAGTAAGACTACCGCGCATTCTCACTTTCGGGCTATTGTCGTCAAGCGGAGGGCACATATTCAAAGTGGATGTGGGAGTGCCGAGAGAAGGAAAGAGACTTAATAACTGTGCCTTTTTGGTTTTTTCTACAAAGAAATCGCAAGCCTCGAGAAGACAGAAGAGTGGGCTATGAAGTCTTGAATGGTGATGACTGGGGTGTGTGACTTCATTGCCGGGGACCCAATACTTCTATTCAAGCTACATTCTCGCAATGAGGCAAATAAGGTTTTAAAAAAGGGAAAACCATAATGGGGAGATGCTTTTTAAAATACAGAGTGGGATTCTCTGGCATTATGAGGAAGAGCAAGGAATGGCGAATTCTATTGTATGGTGTGCAGCTCCATCTATGGTGCCATCCACAATTCGTTGCAACTGGGGATCTATGTGGTGATTTTAAGGGCGTAAAAGCAAATGAAATGGTAAACATGAAAAGAATAAAGTTTTAGGCCTGGACAGAGAGGAGATACCCGCTTTTGTGATGGCGGGGGACGGGAAGGTGTTTTATCAGGTGGCTGTGTTGGAAGAACCATGTCAGAATTGACTCTGACAGTAGCATCGCTCAGAGATCAACATGAGAAGTTGTTAACTCAAGAGAAGGATTGGTGGTGAGAGAAGGACGAAGCCAAGTGTGCATCGGAAGTATGCCGGAAAGTGAAATATGAGAAGTAGAGGTAAAAGGGACAAGAGAGGTTGGGGACAAGGGTCTTTGCAAGCGCCTGAAGCACGTAAAAAGAAGAGGCGAACAAAAGGAGAGGGTCTTCTTAACAACCAAAAAGGGGTGGGAGGCAGCTCGGTTGCAACATGGCATATAGGGGATGGCAATGGGAGAGAAGTCACACGACATGTGCCGCAAACCTATGGGCCTGCTATTAATGATCCAATCATAAATGCAAGCATTCGGTCTAGGTTTTAAAATTTTGAAAACATAGACCACCACCTCAAACAAGAATGAACCTGCTATTACTGATCCAACCCGAAATAAAAATACTAGGTAGGAGTGACAATAACTGATACGACATGAAATAAGCGTGTTTACATTTGACTAATCGTGCTTGGATTGCAATAGTGTCATCCTATACCATAGTTGTTAAGGGCACACCTAGGCTCTAAAAAAGCCCCAGGCTTGTCGAGGCTCATCTAGAGAACCTTGACCTAGTAAAGGCCAAGCCCCTTTAGTCAGGCTCACTGGCATGCACTTTTTAGTATGTCCCAAGCCAAAAAAAAAAGTGTCTTTTAATTTTTAGGTAAATTCCCCTTACCTCTCTTGATTCCCCCTGCCGTTGGGACACCTGACAGAGATGAACAGAATATTTTAAGGTAAGTGAAATTTGTTCTCTATTTTTCAATATTTTATTCATATCATTGTTCTTTTATCAAATGACTACTAAATTAGAATGTCACTATAGGCAATTTCACCCCACTAGGGGAGATTTCAAGGCGATCGTGATTTTGTTTTTCAGTTTCAGTTTGCGATGAAATCTTCTTTAGAAATTGCAAGGATTCCAAGAATTTCACTGAGAAGGGATGTGAAGTCAGCAGTTCCACATCGAGGGCCGTCTTTGTACATCGACGAGGAGCCCGTCGGAGGGAGGAAATCAATTCTCTCACCTTGCTTGGTCGGTCGTTTTGACAAGGAAGTTGGGGGATGTGATCGGGTGGAGGAAGGAGCGGCGTGAGCATGGAATACGTCCTGTGGAGTGGGGGTTACTCCCTTATCCGATTCGTTGCTCCTATTCAGGTTTCCTTCTCAGGCAGAAGCTCAACGTGTGTTGAAGGAAGGCCGGCGTCAATGGGGATCTGCAACCTTGCGGATCGATGTGTGGTCTTTTAGGGTTGGTTGTTGCGGCGTCCTTAGAGACAAAGGTCTCAAACAGATCCGGATGTTTGGACTGCCCCTTCACCTATGGTGTCATGCTTTATTTGTTGAAGTAAGGGAGTTGTGCGGCGGATTTATGGGAGTTGTTGCTGATGAAACAAGGGACGCCGAAAGCGTTTGGATTACAGTGAGAATAGGATCGACCTGTCCACAATTCGTGTTTATTAATGATGACACCTTCTGTTACAAGGTGGCGATCTGGGAAGAAGTCGCGCCGGAGTTGGTTCCCTCGACAAAGAGTCTTGAAGGCAGTGATGGGTCTCATCTTATAACTGAGGAAGGATGGAATTCGCTTCTTAACAAAGGGAAGGAAGGGGTGCAACAGATCCAACAATGGCTGAAAGATAGAGAACTTCAAAGGGCGGTGAAATTTGTGCGAGGAATCAAGTAGCCGAGACGCGCCGGTTACGCGCGTTGCAGCTGACAAGAATAAAATTACACGTGGCGCTCGTAGAGGCTCACTTCCAGATTCATCCCTATCCTTATCTACAAGGGTTGGTGAAGAGCTTGGGCTGGGCCGCACAAATTGGCCTAAGGTTGATTTGGGTCGGAGGGGTTCAGGGCAAGCTAAAGTGTTAAGTTTTGGGTCTAGGAGGAATGGGCTCAAGTTCAAGCCTAACTTTGGGCCTAAGACAGCCCACACTAAAAGACGGGTATTTAGAGGACCCAACTCCCTTTCTGCTTCCTTTCTTAACGAACCAGATCCATCTAAAAGACAAGCCCAGGTTCAAGCTCAAATCCAAAACCAAACTCTCTCCTCTTCTTCATTTCAGCGTCGGACTGAGAAAGAAAAGTGGAGACGGCCAGTTGCTTCAGCTAGTTGCCAAGGCACTCGATGGACTCGTACTGAAAAACATAAATGGGTAGCATGCTCTCCTTCTCCTTCTCCTTCTCCTTCGCCAGGTTTGACCTCTGTTTCTCATTCTAAGAGCTCATTTTCTACCCCTTCTTGTGAGGTGATGGGAAATGGTGGCGATGGTGTGGAGGATCGTTTGGATCATAAGAGGGGTTTTTCTGAGGCCATTGTTCCACGGGCTGAAGAGTCATTGTCTTCAATGATCACGTCCGGAAGTGTTGGTTGTTCCAACAAGGTCACAGTATGTGTAGGACGGGACCTTCATTTCAAGCTGACAGATGATTAGCCATGACTTTACTTAACGAACTTAAGCTCTTTGTTGCTCTAAAAGGCTTAAATGGTCTACCCTCTGTGACTGGGACGAATTACACCCATGATTTGATGACAAATTTTACGGATGACCATGGAACATAGCTGAATCTGCAATTAAACTTGTATCAGAACAGTGTTGAAAGCAAAGGGGAGGAGTTTGAAGATCAGTTTTCTTCTCAACAGATCTGTCCTCTTGCCTGGGATATTGATCAATCTGACGTGGACATTATGGAACCCTTAGCAACTGTGCACCCTGATTGTCTAGAGACGACAAACGATTTGGGTATGGACTGGGTGTTTGATAATATTGGCAAGGTCAGTGAAGCTTTGGGTGTCTCCTCAAAAGGTGATGATGACCGAACACAATCCATTCTTCAAGCTATTGTGGCAGGAAATAACAATACAGGGACCTTTAAAAGCACAAAAGTTGATAAAAAT